CAGCCGCGGCCCCAGGGTCTGCGGCGGAAGCTCTGCCGGACCGTCCGAGTCCCCTCACAGCCTACCGCGCGGCGCGCCCACAAGCACGACTTCCGCTCCGCAGCAACTTCCGTCCGGGGTATCGTACAGTCACGGAAGTGCCACCTCTATACTGTCCGGGTGCACCCGGGCTCCTGGCTTTGAAAACGTCCGCGGGGACGCTGAGCATTGGGACGCAATAACCAATCAAAGTGGGAATGGAGTGTTTGGAAGGTTGTGCGTGCGAATTGACTGTGAGGAAACCTCCCCTGACTCCCGACCCAGACCAGGTCAGGTCCCGCTGGCCTCTCTGCTGTCTCCACGTGTCTGCCCATAGGAATCGCACATTTCATTGTGGGAGCTTCTAATGGACTCTTTACCTTGAGGATGGAGACGTGTCAGTCTTGCTCTCAGCTGCATCTCCCCTGGACCCAGCGATTGGCACTGAACAGATGTATCGAGATACTTCTCGGATAAACAGTGGATTGACAGATGGGTACATGGATAGATGAGTGGGCCAGGCTGGAGTGTCTCTGCTTACCTGCATCCCCCTGAGGTTTCTAACACCTGCTTTTCAGAACCACCTCTGGCTCTGGCTCTGGCTCTGGCTCTGGCTCCTAGGGTGCCAGTTTCCTCATGTGGAGACTCAGAATTGCTTAGACCAGTACAATAGCTACTAGCCATGCACAGCTACTGAGCACTTGATAGGCAGCTAGTGTGAATGAAGAACTGAATTTTATATAACTTTACTAAATTGGGCCAGCCCCATAGCCCAGTGGTTAAGGAAGCCAGATCTCCCTTTGTTGACTGCAGTTCAAATCCCCACCCTCAAGGCTTGAAAAGCACACCAGGCACGTGTACATGTGTGACCAAAATCCCAACAGATAGTGAAATGGAGAAAGGATTGTGACAATTGTGATATGATCACACCCTAGGGAGGGAGGTTGCTTTCTCCTTCTATTTCACTCTTCGGCAAACATGTGCACACTCTGGCAATTAAAAATAAGTATTTTTTTATTTTAATTCATTTAAATTTAATATTTGGTACACACTTCAGGTGTGTAGAACACTTCAGAATGTTGAGAATAACCGTATGTGAATCTGATTTATTCTGTTGTAGCTATTAAAAACTCTAAAAAATGGGGCCAGCAGATGGCATAGCAGTTACATCACTGAATTCCCACATGTCCATCAGTGGTTCAAGTCCAGGACCCAGTGGCTTGAAAAATCACTGCAGGTACATGTGCATTCATGACCAAGACCCATGGAGGAGAACGGACTGCGGTGTGGCCATCCCCTATGGGGGGGGGGAGGGTAAATTCTCACTTTCCTTCTCACTGTCTCTGTCTGTCTGTCTTTCTCTCCAGATAGCACACATGCCCTGAGGTAAAAACCTCTTAAAAAAAATAATAATAATAATCACTTATTTGGGACCAGAAGCAGATAGTTTAATGGTTACGCTCCTGGATTCCCCACATAGTTCACCATGAATTGAGTCCCAGACCAGGCAGCTTAAAATTCATGTCAGACCCATGTGTGCATGATCAAGATCCCAAGAGGGGAATGGAGAAGGGATTGTGGCATGGCCATCCCCCCTAGAGGGTGATTTCTCACTTTCTGTCTGTCTCTGTCCAGCAAGCACACGTGCCCTACAGCAAAAATTTCTCTCAAAAAAAAAAAAAATACATATTGGGCCAGCAGTTGATGTGGTGGTTTAGGATGCTAGACTCCCACATGGCCAACCATGGTTCGAGTCCCGGACTTGGCGGCTTGCTTTCTCACTTGCCCTCTCTCTCTCTCTCTTCTCCCCCCCCCATCTCTCTCTGATTAAATATCTCTGTCTCTCTCTCTCTCTCTTCTCCCCCCCATCTCTCTCTGATTAAATAAATAAAGTTAAATAATTCTTTAAAAAAAACACTTAATTTAATTTTGTTATTATCTTTTGTTATTTTAATTTGCCATAGGGCACTTGTATCTACACAGAGAGAAATGAAAGTGAGAAAGCAAGCCACCAGTTCTGGATTCAAACCATGGTCAGCCATGTGGGAGCCCAGTACCTTAACCACCATAGCAACTGCTGGGTCTCCCCAGCAGGGTCTTGACCCTGTGATCCACCCCCAGGCTTCAACCAGCCCTAAACCATGGGCAGGCACATGCCCAACATATTCACGCAGGTGTCTGGACTTGAATCAGGAACTTCCCTGTGGGAATGCCTCAGAGTGTTGTATTTTACCACTACACCACTATCTGGTCCCTTGTATTATAAATATTGTATTATATTTCTGTTGTGGATAGTGCAAGGCGTTCATCTCTAAGGTGAACAAGGTTTTTTTTTTTGTTTGTTTTGTTTTGTTTTTGAGAAGTTTTTGCTGTAGGGCGCATGTGCTCGCCAGAGAGAGAGAGAGAGACAGAAAGTGAGGATCACCCCCCGGGGGGATGGCCACGCCACAATCCTTTCTCTCCGCCATCCTTTCTCCTGCATTCTCCTCCCAGGATCTTGTGCACACACGCACACGCGCTCTGCGTGAGTTTCAAGCCACTGGGTCTAGGACTCAAACCGCGGTCGACCACATAGGAGTCCAGCAACATAGCCTTTTTTTTTTGGAGAGATTTTCACTGTAGGGCGCATGCACTCGCCAGACAGACAGAGAGAGACATAGAGACAGAAAGCGAGAAATCACCCCCCAGGGGGGATGGTCACACCGCAATCCACAACCAAATTGGGAATTATAACCACAGCTTTCTCACATTCAGCCAGCATGCCACAGCCCCCATGGCATGTTCCATGCATGTCCCTTCTCCAGGAAAAGAGCCAGAGGCTCTCTATGATAGTTTTAAAATAGGCCCCCTAATTTTTTGGCATTCCTTTATTCAAGAAGTGGAGCCTAATTCCACCTCCCTTTGGTGGAGGCTGACTTTAGTGACTCATTTGTAATGAACAGAATAAGGCAGAAGTGACAGTATATGACATCCAAGACTGGTCATTAAGAGACATGTGTCGGGACCAGCAGATAGTGTAATGGCTATGTCGCTGGACTCCCACGTAGTCGACTGCAGTTCGAGTCCCGGACCCAGTGGCTTAAACTCATGCTGGGCGCGTGTGTGTGCGTGCCCAAGATCCTGAGAGGAGAATGGAGGAGAAGGGATTGCAGCGTGGCCATACCCCTGGGGGGTGATTTCTCGCTTTCTGTCTCTCTGTCTCTCTCTGTCCTTCTGGTGAGCGCATGCGCCCTATAGCAAAAAAAACTCTCAAAAAAAAAAAAAAAGAGAGAGAGAGAGAGAGCCATGTGGCCTCCTCCATGTGCTCTTCTATGTCTCACTGTGGAGGAACAGCCGCCATATCATGAAGACACTCAGCAGCTCTGTGTTTAGGCCCATGTAGTGACAAACTGAGACATCCTGTCAACAGCCTTGTGAGTGAGCAATAGTAGAAATGGGTCCTCCCACCCGTCAAGCCTTCAGATAAGTCCGACCCCAGCCAACAGCTTGACTGCAGCATCGTGAAAGGCCCTGAGACGAGAATGACCCACCTCTCAAATCCCTGGCCCACGGGAGCTAATCCTTAACAAAAGCTTATTGTCTTAACACGTCAGCTAATCCTTAACAAAAGCTTATTGTCTTAAGCTGCTACATTTTGGGATCATTGGTCACACAACAGGTCACCAGCACACTTTCTTCATGGCCTCATAGTTACTGCTCTTCTCCAGGGACAGGGCCCCAGTCTTTAGTCTGATCCTTCTTGGTACTGCAGGAGTCACAACAAGGCCCAAAGGCCAAGGCACAAATCAGACACTGGGTCAGGATACCTATGTTCTCACGGGCTGTTTATTTAATCCAAGAGTAAGGAGGAGAGAGAGGATGAAGAGAAAAACCAGACACCCCGAAGTGCTGGGGCTGAGGGGGAAAATGAACAGAAAGGCTCCTCTTCTTTCTCTTGCCGCTGACCCAGGTGACTCCAACTTCAGATGGGGCCTCTGGGGTGGCTTAGGGGCCTCTAGGAGGCCTGGCAGCTCAGCTGTTGACTGGAGTCAGGATCCCCACAGGGGCACGTCCCAGGCTCGGAATGGCTTCTGTGTACACAAAATATCTCTCTGCAAAAGGCACTGGTGGAGGGGGCAGCAGAAAGGCCACCCCATCACAGGCAGAATCCACTGTGTCCTGGGTCTGGGTCCTGGTACCCAAGACCGAATCAGCCTCCCTCAGGGGCTGGGTTTCTGAGGTCCTTGTTCCTCTCCTCTCCCTTCCCTCAGTCCAGGGGTGAGTAGGCAGTTGGCAGAGGCCCAGGCCAGGCCATGTGGTGGATACCCCCTCTTCAGGGCTAGCACATCTGGCAACTTCTAGGCCAAGAGTCCCAGACGGGTGACCTTGGCTGAGAGGAAGGAGTGGATGATGAAGACCATGGTTTTGGGACACGAGTGCAGGTCCAGCTGCTGCAGGGTGGATGGAGAGAAGGGTCAGAGGCCCTGTCCAGCCTGGCCTCCAGGTCAGCATATCCCCTCCTCCCCAGGGTGAAGAAGTGGCCCTCCACTCACGATCTCGCCTTCAGCACCCCCAAAGTCCAGGAAAAGGAGACTGGCGCCATCGTCCGAGGACATCTGCAGCTTCTCAAAGGGCTGTCGGAGCAGCACAGCTCGGGCCGCACCTGGCTCAGCCGCCCACAGTGTGAAGCCCTTGTCAATGTGCACAGAGAGGCTACAGGGACGGCCATTCCACGTGCAAGCTGCGGGGAGGGCACAAGGGCACAGGCATGGCCGGCACCTCAGACCACATCCCCACCTCCCACCCCACCAGCAGCTCCACAATAGGGGGCTTGAATACCATCAGGGAAGGGAGGCCCATTGTCTGTCATGACACCCTGCAGAGAGTCACTCCCGCCCTAAATACAAAAAAATGGGCACTCAGAGAACTGACACCCACCTCTATCCTCACGTCTAGCAGCACCATAGGTAGAAAGAGGGAGCTCAAAATCTGCCATAGGGTCAGCCAGCGGGGTGGCGTGGTGGTTGAGGAGAATGGATCCCACATAGCTGATTGCGAGGTTAAAGTCCCTGACCCAGCAGCTTGAAAAATGCTAGAGTTGGAAGTGCTTGTATGTCTCCAATCCCAAAAGGCAGATAGAGGGAAAGGGATTGCAGTGTGGTCATCCCCACTGGGGGATGCTTTCTCTCTCTGTGTCTCCGTGTCTCTCTCTGCAGAGAGCACATGCACCCTATAACAAATAGAAAAAAAAATCTGGGGCCAGCAGGTGGTGACCCAGCAGCTTGAAAAATGCTAGAGTTGGAAGTGCTTGTATGTCTCCAATCCCAAAAGGCAGATAGAGGGAAAGGGATTGCAGTGTGGTCATCCCCACTGGGGGATGCTTTCTCTCTCTGTGTCTCCGTGTCTCTCTCTGCAGAGAGCACATGCACCCTATAACAAATAGAAAAAAAAATCTGGGGCCAGCAGGTGGTGTGGTGGTTGATCAGTGTCTCTGTGTCTCTCTCAGCAGAGAGCACATGCGCCCTATAACAAATAGAAAAAAAAAAATCTGGGACCAGCAGGTGGTGTGGTGGTTGAGGCACTGGACTCCAACATGGCCAACCACAATCACAGTTAGCGTCCTGGAGCTGACCGCTTGCTCTCTCATTCTCTCTCCCCATTTCTCTGTCTCTCTCTCTCTCTAGTGAGAGTATATGCCCTATAACAAATTTAAAAACAATAATAATAAATAAAATTAAATAATTCTTTTTTTAAAAACCTGCCATGGACAGGAGACCCAGTGCCTATAAAGTCACCAGCACACCTACCAAGCAAAAACCGCTGGAGACCTTGCAGACCTATAGAATTGACTGCTTCAGTTTAAATTCCAGAAAAACAAAGGGTAATTAGGACATACTTACATGGAAAAGGATTATTTTTCATCTTAAATTCAAATTTA